CCCCCCCCCCCCCCAAAAAAAAAATGTTGGCAGTGAGAATTACCTGAAACTGCTATGTAATTGATTATCAATTACTGGAGGAATTGGGCATGGGGTCGGTGCAGGTTGTTCATCGGCAAAGTATCTTCTCCTAATCAACTGTTAAAAGATATTTTATGATATAATAATTACAAATTAAACAGTTTTAAGTTGTAATTAGGTGATAATTACTTCACATTTTCAGATTAATGCAAAGAGTATAAAAACACAGACCTGTTTAAAAAATTTCATTACAGCTTCTTTGTCATATCTAGCTTCTTTAGCAGCCTGCAATGTTATTCAAAGTTGAAATTAAAATTCCAATCCATGCACACTGCAATAATCTAAACTCAGAATAAATAATGAAGGGAAATTTACGTACATACCACACCATTCTTATGTATTTACATATCTAGTATCCAAAATTTGATATTTACAACATCTTGGTACATACATCTATGCATGAAAAAAAAAGTATATTTCACTTTTAAAAAGACAGTGATGGGAATATTTTTAATGTAATGTTTAGGTGTTAGATATGTAAATACATAAGAATTGCATGGTATGTAGGTAAATATTTTCTCTATAATCAGATTATAGTGAAATTTAAGCAGTGACAACAGGACTGGGAGAGATGTATAAAATTCTATATTTTTGGGAATTATTTGTTGTTTTTTTTTTTATGATGGTCAATTAAATTTTGACTATTATATCCAGCAACAATAGTAAATTTGCTATGAATTTTAATTAATGAATTTGCTTGTGCTTAAACAATTTTTAGATGTTAATTAAAAAACTACGGGCATTTACATGCATACCACTTAATTTTTACATATTTACATATCTAATACCTAAACTTTACTTTTTGAAATTAATAGTTTCATATTACCTAAATCTTTCGTATCACATAAAAAATATTACTATTTTAACTATTAGAAAAGTGAGATATACCTTTTTTATGCATAAGGTGGCATATTTGTAAAAATTGACTTTACATGTCAGATATGTAAATACATAAGAATTCAGTGGTATGCACGCAAATCTTCCAAATAAATAATGTCCTTCATCAGTGCATGTCTTTAAATAAAAAATTGAATCACAATTAAAAGTGACACTGCATATTATGATGAATGGCATATAAACAGATTAAGAAAAAAACTAAAAATTTTCTTGGGGATTCTACATATAAAAATATATCAGCACGAATCTCAAGACGAAAAAACGGCTTAGAAGAATGTCGTTGATGATCATACATAGCTGTTGACGACAGCCTCGAATTGGATGTTAGCAAGGAAGACATCTTGACCGAATGATCGGCGGAACGTGCCAAGAGATATTTTTCAGGGCGGGGATCAATCCTCAAAACGATCGACAAGAGACTCTTTTTCGGATTAGATATCGATCGAGTCAAGGCTTACCAGACGGTCATCAACTTTCATCGATCGAATCAGTCATTGGTTTTATTATATGTGAATAGCTCTATAATTACTAAAAAGTCCCCCTTAAAAGTTAATAATGAGTGGGTCAATATGTTTTTTGTAATGTTGAAACTTATACTTATAAATAGAGATTCATGTCACGAATAAAGAAAGCTCTCTTTTAATGTCCTCTAATATGCTCTCTCTCTCTCTCTCATCACTTCCTAGCAGAACATTATATTCCTTATGTGTGTTTCCCGAATACTTTTGGATTTAACATCCTTTAAAGTGCGGTGAGCGTGAAAACATGCATCAACAAATAGAGGAGGTCAGCAACAACAACAGGGAGAGGGTCGTAGGATAAACAATATGCACCCGTGAGTTTATGGAAGAATTTGTTCAACAAGGCCTGCAAGATTTGAGAACTCAGGTCACCAACTAGATGTCGGGACAGTTTGTAGAAGTACTTAAAGCGTTCATTGCCCTAACAGTGACCCCAGTTCTAGGAGAAGAGCCAACACGACAAGGAACACTCAATCCCCTTAAGGGGAACCACTAACCAACAATGGAAGGAGGGTGATCCACCTGCATGGAAAGCCCGACGAGGGTCTATACCAAGACAGCGCCAGATCTGCCCCAGTGGAGGAAAGAAATCGACCAGTGCGGAGTACAAAGGCAGCCAGAAAACGTCTTCTCCCTACAAGTCTTTGGAGTTGAACCTTCGGAGAAGTTCAAGATGTCAATCTTAGAGCTGTATAATGGATGGTCAGACCTAACGACTACCTCACGTCGTTCGAATCGTTCATATGCCTCTTGAAAATTTATGATGCCCTCAAATGTAAGCTTTTCTTCACGATGTTGCTATCAACCGCATTAAGATAGTTCGACGGATTGCCCGTGGGAGTAATCACTTGTTTTGCGGAATTCAGAAGACACTTTCTATCGCAGTTTGCCTTTAGGCCTAAGAAAAGAACTCAATCCCTGTGTTAACTAAAGTAGGGAGCCAACGAGAGCATGCAGTTGTTTATCGCACACTTCCAGTGCAAAACACTAGACATCAAGGACTTGAAGCCCGACATTACCCAGGCTTGCTGACACAAGGAGTGACGTCAGAGAGGTTTCGTTTCGACCTCGAACTCGCAAAGTCGCAAAGCTTGGTCGAATTGTTAGAAATGGCCAACAAATATATTGTCACCTATGAGAACACCCTTGAGCCCGCCGAACAAAGACACCAGAAGAGACCACCACAAGACAGCAACCAAGGCTCAGAACCACCGATCGTTATTCCATCGGGAACACCCCTGGTATAATCCTAGGGTCCCCACAAAACTCCACTTAGGGTTTCCATGAAAGAAATAGTGGACGCCATCCACGATAAGTTCTTTAGAAAAACAACGTCGATGAGGGTCGGAGCTTTTCTTCAGGATAGCAGGAAATATTGAAAGTACCACAGAGATCATGAACACGATACGAAAGAATGCAGACATCTGCATAACATGGTCGAGGAGCTGAAAAAGTAGAGGAAGTTGAAAGAATTGTCGCCCCTGGAGCCACGACCCAAAGGCAGAGCAAAGCTCCAACTGAAGGAATGACTGACGTGCCCATCCGCACTAACGCCATTCAAATTGTGGGATATGTGCCCGCAATCTTTGGAGGAAGCGAACCACCCAAGACGACAAGCCAGAAAAGATAGTAAACGAGAGAACTCTGTGCCACAACCTTTTTCCCCAAAACCCAAAGGCCATCCGACATTTATTTCACTGACACGAATCTTCCCCCTAAGGGAAATCATCCATATAACGACACCATTATAATAAAGACAATAATCACCAATTACCAATTAGGAAGCGTTCTCATTGATATAAGGAGTTATGTGAATATATACTGTTCAAGCAAGTATTCGACAAACTGAGTCTCACTACCGATTGGATGATCGCGACGGCCGTAATATTGTATGGATTCTCGGGCGAAAGGAATGAAACACTGGGAGTAGTCGGGCTACCAATAAGTTGGGGAGAAAACGAGAAGCAATTTATGCTCACAAAAAATTTCCTCGTGATGGATTCACCCACGAAGTATAACGCAATATTCGGCCGACAGCTGTTTAATAATTTCAGAGTGGTGCTCTCTACTTACCATATTGTTGTCAAGTTTCCTAGAGATGGAGAAATTATCACGGTCAGGGGTGATCTGGAGCAGTCCCGGGTTAGCTACTTACGAGCCATAAGCAACATATAGCACGATCTTTTGGATATCCAAAACACAAGGGAATGTGGCCTCAAAACCAACGAAACCACCCGGGAGGTTCCGACAGTCGAAGGAGAACCAAAGAGCTGCTAATCCAAACCCTCTGAGAAAATCGAGTAGTTTTCGCGTGGACGACCGCTGAGATGTTGGGCGTGCCGATTGACGTCGCGTGCCACAGGTTGAACGTCAATCAATCGGCCCGAGTGCCGTTTGACGTCGCGTGCCACAGGTTGAACGTCAATCAATCGGCCCGACCCATTAAGCAGAAGAGCAGAAGCTCAGCCATAACGTTGGCGCCATCTGAGAGGAAGTACGAAAGCTAAAGGAGGTGGGGTATATTCGAGAAGTGCAATACCCCACCTAGGTCTCCAATGTGGTGATGGTAATAAAAATATTTCTTATGTAATATTAAAGATTTGAGTATTATGCATGTAAATATGAAATTTTAGGTGTTAGATAAATACATATATAAGAATTGAGAGTGATGTATGTAAATGCCCCAAAAGAAAAATATAAAACTTGGGTTTTAAAAAAAATGAGATCCACATGATAGCATATTGAAAAGATATAAAACTTTAGGACAAGTTTTCAGAACTTATTAAATTAGAGTTTTATGAATAATATTTCTATATGACGGGGAAAATGAAAGGTATTACCAAGAAATTTAAATATAGAGAGAAAGAGAAAGAGAAATTTGGATAGTGGTGGCTTAAGCTCATAGGAAACAACTAAATGCATTATAATTAACTTTTCAACATGTCAATTTATTCATGACAAGTTAATAATGATGAAGAATTGAGACATTAGAACATTTTTAGTTACAATTTCAGATATATAATACATTAAAAAAAAAAGAAGAAGATTTACATATCTAACACCTAAACTTCAATTTTTACATATATTCCACCTTCCTTATGCAAGAAAATGTACATTTCATGTTTTAAAAGTTAAAATAGTGGTATTTTATGTGATATGAAAGATTTGAGTGGTATAAATGTATATGGTAAAGTTCAGGTGTTAGATATATAAATACATAGGATTTGGGCGGCGTGTATGTAAAAGCCCCTAAAAAAAAATAATACTAGAGATAGAGATGAAAGTGGTACATTAAAAGATAAGTGTTCAAAAAAAAAAAAAACCTATGATATCATATAAAATAGAATATCATGAGAAAAGTAAAAGAAAAACTTAGTATAAAGATAATAACAAGGGCAATGTTGCATGAGTCTCAGTGTTGAAAATAAGTCACGAACACGCGGATGATTGTGTTGAAAACAAATATTTTGAAAAGACGCACGAAATTTAATAAACGAAGGAATTGATTGTGAAATACATCGGCTAAAAGGATGTGATTAGGAATGTAATTAGTAATAAAAAGCACGCCCTTCTTAGACATGAATGATAAAAAAAAAGGAAGATTTATATAAATACCACTCAATTCCTATTATGTATTTACATACCTAACACCTAAACTTTAATTTTTACACACATGCCACCTTACCCATGCATAAAAAGGTGTCTTTGAGTTTTTAAAATTTAGAATGCTGGTATTTTTTTATGTGATATGAAAGGTTTGGGTAGTATAAACGTGAAAAAGTAAAGTTTAAGCTTTAGTTCGTATCACAAGAAAAAAGGAAAAATTTACCAGCATTCTATTTACAAGTAAAAAGCAAATGAATTTGTGGTTATTGAAAACATCACAAGAAAAAAGGGAAAATTTACATGCATACCACACAATTCTCATGTTTATACATATCTAACACCCAAAGTTTGATAGTTACACTTATAGCACATTTGTATCATAAACACGTGCATGAAAAGGTGTTTTTCACTTTTGAAAAGATAATGATGGTAGTATATTTTACATGATGTTAAAGATTTGAGTGGTACACATGTAAATATGAATGTTTAGATGGTAGATATGTGGATAAATAATAATTGTGTGCTATGGAAGTAAATGCCCCAACAATCTTACCGCAAGAAGGCTTGAGCTGCCCGGAAAGCTATCTGTCAATGGAAGCTCCTCACTAGGTGGAACAAGGCCTTGCTTCTCGGCCCACATTCTAGCAACATCGAATAGATTGCCGCTGCTTCGATGGCGCCGATTTGAGAATATGTCGGCTTTGTTGGCAATAATGAGACAAGGAACAGGAAGGCTCCTTGGACCTCCAGATTCAAGAGGAGCTGAAAATGTGCCTGTTGATGCAATCTCCGCAGCCCAATTCTGCAAACTAGTTTTCGTCCTCCTTTGAGAGAGATCGTGGACGAAGATAACACCTAATACAACAAGATCTCTTTAGGGAAATTTCATGAAAAATGAAGCATGGAAGGTATAGATTAAAATGTGCTTACAAGTACGAAGTAAAGTAATCTCATGATTATTTACATGGGGGTGATTTTAGTCCCAAATTATATAAAAGTGTTAGATTAGTCCTCAAAATCTTTTGATTAGAGATAAAATACTCCTTTAAAAGGATCATTTCAGCCCATATTTTAAAAAGACAACCTACAAAGAATCGGGGGCGTTTTGTGACTTCTCTCTCTGAATAAGTAATCATTACAATCAGTGATCAGATTCCATTGAGAGACCATTCACAAGGTAGAGAACTAATTAGGGGCATTTACATACATACCACACAATTCCTGTGTATTTAGATATCAAACACGTAAACTATACTTTTTACAGAAGTAATGCTCAAATTTTTCACATCACATCAAAAATATTAACATTTTAATTTTTTAAAAGTGAAATATATGTTTTTTCGTGCATAGGTAAGGTGGTATGTATGTAAAATTGAAGTTTAGATGTTAGATATTTAAATACATTGGAAAAAAGTGGTATGCATGTAAATCATTCAACTAATTATATTTCCTAGTAATAACTTCCCAAAAGCAGGACTTGCTGGCAGCAATAACAACAGACCTATGCAACTTAAACTACTGATTTGTAAGTCCAAAAACATCAAAATTCTCTCCAAAGCTTTAATTTCATTTTCACACCCAAAATGAGTGAAAACAAGATCATTGTTTTTAGAAGCATATTTTCTAACTCAAGCAACCTCAAGAGTCATAATAAAAACTAGGGGCATCTACATACATTCCACCCAATTCCTATGTATTTACATTTATACAACCCAAAATTTTCATAACACATCAAAATATCATTATTTAAACTTTAAGAAGTGACATGCCTCTTTTCATGTATAGGTAAAGTGGCATATATGTAAAATTTGAAATTTAGTTGTTCGATATGCCAATACTTGAGAATTATGAGGTATGCATGTAAATCTTGCGAAAAGCTACTATAAGCATCATTGCTCTTCACGTTGAGAACATGAAATCAAGTCAGAGGGATACTTAGAAAGGCCAAGAAATTTCCAAACATGTAGGTCTCTCCAAGTTTTTTGGAACGTTTATATCCTTAGTCAACCCTAGTCTAATTCAGAAACTGTGAACTCTTAAATGAAAACATAAATGACAGGGTTCTTATTGCATAATCTTGCTTTTAGCATGCTAAATAAACACGGTCATCACAAGGAGAAATTAACATTAAAACAGCATGCTCATGCTTACAATAAAAAAAAGGGAAATGTACATGCATACCACATAATTCCTATGTATTAACACCTAAAGTTTGATGATTACATTTATAACACTTTGACGTTATAATCTATGCAGGAAAATGGCGTATGTAACTTTTATAAAGTTAGTAAGAGTGGTAATTTTTTTTTATGTGAAAGATTTGAATGCCATGCATGTAAATAGGGAAGTTTAGGTTTTAAATATATAAGAATTGTGTGCCATGTATGTAAATGCCCCTAGAAAATATTCTGAGTTGCAGAACCCATATATTGCTTAATTCTACTGGATGTAAAAGACTAATGCTAACAATAATCATTCCCGAAGTAAAAGCTTTGCCATTCTCTGAAGGGCTCCAATAGAGCTCACATATTTTATGTGTCAGTACTCCAATCATAGAATGAAAAGAAGATTTGCATATATTCCACTCAATTCCAATGTATTTACATATCTAGCACCAAACTTCAACTTTTACATATACATATGCATGAAGGTGTATTTTACATTTTAAAAGTAAAAATAGTGATACTTTTGATGTGATATAAAAAATTTGGATGGTGTAAATGTAGAAAGCAAGTTTTAGATAACTAACAGGTTCGGAAGAAAAAAAAGTTTGAGAAATTTACATACATACCACACAATTCTTATGTATTTACATATCCAACACCAAAACTTTTATATTTACATTCATAACATTTTGGTGTGATAAATCTATGCATGGAAATGTGTATTTCACTCTTAAAAAGTAGGCAATAGTGATATTTTTTATGCCATATTAATGATTTAAGTGCTATACATGTAAATATGAAAGTTTGGCTGCTAGATATGTAATTACATGAGAATTGTAATACCCCAAAAAGTTAATGACATTGTTCAGTCCTCACCATGGATTTGGGTATAAAAAAGATATCGACAGTCCTTGTACCGATCATGTCCAGAGATATCCCAAAGCTCAACAAAGAAGTCACCCTCCCGATCACCTTGTTTGCTGTTAGATGACATGCTTGCACCTCCATAGCTAATATGCTGGAAACAGGTAAAATTTTCACTCTGGGTGTTATTTATTTAAGTCATTATCATTTTTGATAAAAGCAAATTATCAGAATGGTCCCTTGACTCTTTGTAGGGTCCACATTAGTCCTAGAGTGTATAAAAGTGTCAATTTAGTCACCGGACTCTTGTAATGGGGCCTAAAATAGTCATTTTTGGAGTTTATTTTAGCTCATATTAAAGAGTATAGGGACTGATTGCACGCTTTTATAGACTCTAAGACTGAATGACAACGTAAATGGTCAAAGCACAATTCTGACACTTAACTCTTTTCTATAAAGAAAAGGATTTTATTTACCTTTACATCAACTGCACACCCAACTGTTGGACGTGGATGGGCAATTGAAGAACCTTTAAGAATTAGATGCACGAGAGAAGTTTTTCCCACGCCTATAAATAATTCAAGATAAGAAACAGTAAATTCAAAATTGGGGAAACTTATGCAAGCAAGATTGTCTGATAAAATATGTAAAAGAGGTTAAGCTTTTTACAAAACAGAAAAGAAAAATGATCCATCTTCATTATGCTAAGCAGGGCTGTCAAAAAATATTGTGGTTCACAGAGAACTTATGTTCGACTTGTTATATAGCACGTGTTCGATTTATTCGTTAAACAAGAAAGCTGAACAAAAAAAAAAAAACTCAATTTATAAATGAGCTTAACAAAACAAGCTTTTATTCAATCATATTCAGCTCATTTTGCTTCAAAATTAATTAAATAAATAATATTATTTCCGTAATATTTTTATGTTGATGTGTTATGTTGTATTTAACAAAAGTTAAATCTGATTATTTTTAAATCCTTCAAGCTAAGTTTGAGTTTAATTCTAGTGAAAATGAATAAACAATTTTGAATTGAGCCAAGCATGAATATGCTTACAAGCCATTTCTAACACAAGCTTATTTTGAATTAAAAAAAAAATTTGAATGAACCAATCACAAACAAGCACTATGTTCGCTCAAGCTCACCTCTTCTACACCCCTGATGCTAAGAATGTTAACAAGCTTTTATACGCTCATGCAATGCAATTTGAAAAGCTAATTTACCCAATAGAGCATTTCATACATTTTTTTAGGTTTCACTGCAGTACTTTAGCTAAAATAGATGGTAGATATCAAACCTAGAAACTACACGGAACAGTACAAAGAAAAAGCCAATATAGAAGTAGAAAGAGTTTTCTTAAGGCAAATGATTTAATCACTTTTTATATGATCTAGAAAAAATTGATGGGACTAGGAAAGGCTCACCAGACTACTCAGAAAGTGTCATAACTACATTTGTAAAAGAAAATTTAAGCAGTGAATAAAGCTCCAAAGATTTCACCGTCGTTGAAAACTTTATATTTTTTAGTTTAAGGCTTCTCATGAAAACAAGCCTTCATATTTAATAAATCCTCCTAACAACAATAGTCACAATTAAGAATAATTATGAATGTTTATATTAACTTGTTTGTTAGCTTGTCATTGTAGTGCTTAAAGAATTGGTAGGGTAAATAATAGTTGGTGTTTCAAAATCTTATGGTGATCCATCGTCCAGAAATTTTGGTAATCCATCTAAATACCCAGAAAATCTAGATATTACTTTTTGGTTCCTAAACCTAAAAAGCCTTATTAGCAACTATAAGTTACCTTATCTAAAATGACCTTATAGATTTAAGGGTGACATAGAGCTTAGGCTAATTTTGAGGCAAATCTCAACTGATAAAATGAGCTTAGTTAACTATTTGATGAGCCAAAATGGCTCAAAGTTTCATAGGCAAACTATCATGGAAAATGTCAGGCTTTGACCTTGACTTTTAGGTGATAGACTAGTGAGGCACACTTTAATCTTGATCACCTAACTTGAAGCTATTAACGATGCCTAGACTTGTGAAAATATTTTGACCATGATCGCTATGATCGTATTGATGTGATATTACTTTTTCTGAGCTCTAGTTGACTTTTAATTAGATGCCTTCAACAATTTTAATATGGACGGTCAGTGGGGGGTGATAGCTTGAGAGCATGGAGCGCAATGAATCCATTATGTTTTTTTTACTCTCCAGCTACATGTGTTACACACAATATTTACTATTGTTGAGGTTTGAGACGAAACAAGAAGGGCCCAAAAGCAACTAATCTTTTGCATCAACAATTTTTCGTTCTTAACTTTTTGTATTTTAATATTTTGTGAGGTACTATTTTTATAGGCCAGTTGTTGCACATTTTATAAAGGAACCTTTTATACTTTGATTATCACGATTATTAAAATGGAATGTCATTGATTTGGGGATCATAAATCAGAATACCTAGAATTTATTTTATTGTGGGTATTCCCTTCATATTTATAAAGGGGTAACAGAAATAACTTATGGTTAATTGTTTTATAATTGACATTTGAGAATTCATGTGGAAAGAAAACCTGAGAGGTTCAAAGAAGAATTAAAGGGTCTAGACAAATGAATACCTAGAAGTAAGAGAGGAATGGGATAGAGAGAAGGAAAATAGCAAGAAACTCTAACTAGGGAGGAAGGATATCTTTAGAAAGGACGGTATAGGAAAATTGTTACTTATTTCATCTTCAACTTCGATATAAAATTACAATACCACTCACATATATTTATAGAAATAGGTTTGTAATCATATGTTTTCACAATTCACATTGTATGCTCCAAACTTATCCAAAACCATTCTAATTATTTGACTTTCAAAATTATTAAGTATTCCCAAGATCATCTACCATTCAAAATGTTCCAAGTGAGTTAAACTGAGGCATATTTAGATTTGAAAAAGGGTATTTCAATTTTTATCTCAAATGTTTTAGATTATTACTTGTAATTTTGACAATGAATAATGTAGATCATGCCCTCCCATGATCAAACTTTGGTTGGATAATATTGCCCTTGGCATACCGAGATTAGCCCAATAAAAATGGGGTAGATCAGGTGTCTTCCGTCTATGATTAAAATGTGTCATCTAATAGATCTTAATTTTTTAATTTCGATAGATATGATAAATCAAAATTAAGCATTTGAACTAGCAAGAATAATCTTTAAAAAATTCATTATTCAAAGTTGGAGTTGCCAAAATAACAAAAAAGATACATTGTGAATTTTGAATCAAAATGTTTTCGCTTATTTCTCACAAGATGCTAAGAAAATGAAATATTGATGAATGTCACAATTGCTCTGGAAAAGTAATAGAATCACTATATAATTTACAAAATAATGAGCTTGTGCTAGTGTGATCAAACAACATCGATGTGCAGATTTTATCATGAGCATTTAAAATGTGAGAAATAGTTTGCTACCCTCCAAGAAAAGTGACAATAGCCCTAAACTACCGCTGCTTGAGACCTTCCTTGCATGTTTGTCCCTGGAGCATGTAGAGGATGGCAAAGCATCAAAGCCAGTTCAACCCTAACTAGCTAATTGATCGATTCAGGATTTCCATGTATGAAAATTAGACCAAGGGATATTGATTTTTTTTATTTTTATTTTGATGTTTTGGTCACTTTGGTGATGTTTTTATGTCACTTTGAGCTTGCTTGGTTTCAAAAAAAAAATCTTCGTGAAAATGAGCATTGCTTTTTAACTCTGTAAATCACCTAAACATTTTTGCCTGGTGTTAAAATTTGTATTGGATTAGAAATGGATTTTTACATTCCCTAAGCCTACTTTAGTATTTAGCTTTCAAAAATGGAGGTTGAATGCAAACTCCGCAATATTTATTACGAACTTAGCAAAAAAAATCTTTAAATTATCACCAATGAGCCCTTCTCAACAACCTTGTCAATTTAATTAACCCCTTCCCTACATTTTATGTTAGATTAAAAACTTAAACATTGGCGCATCAGAATGATTCACTTGAAAATTTGTGGTTGGATGAATGGCCACTCCAAAGGGAATCGGTGGAATGAATTATGGTCAAAGCACATGTTCTAATATAGGACTGGTATATGGGTTTCATATTTGATTATTTTCTTACCACTGCTTCACAATTCTACCTTGAGGGAAAGTTGGTTTAGTAGGGCTGGCAAAATTTAGGAAAATGCAAGAGATAAATAATTGTAAAAAATAGTCTGGGTTAATGGGTAGTTTTGAAATAGAAGTATATGCACTTATTCTACGAATAACATAAATTAGTTGGAAATATCAATCAAATGAAAATAAACTTCTTCCCTCCCTGTCTTATGGTGTTATGTCCATTCTCAAATCACCTAATTATCCCTTCAAATCGCTTCTCGATTCATTATTTTCCCTTTCTTCCATGCTGTTTTCCCATTCAACAGCGCAGGGATCAATGGTTCATATCACATCCGCAGAACTTATGGATACCCTTTATATAATCTCACGTATAAAATATAATACATGTAACATCCGAAATTTTATATGAATTCTCCTCCATCAAAACCCCAGATCCATAGTTGCCTCTGATCACCCTCAGTAACTTCAAGTCGAAAACGGCATCAAATTCACCATTGTGTTCCGTAACAACTGAAATTTCTCAAATCTCAAATTCTTACCTTCGTTGTGCTTACAAATACAAACCCAAACCCTAAACCCTTTCCACATTCCATCTTCCACACTTAGCTCAGTCCATATCAAAATAAAATGAAACCAACAGCTTAGTAATCCAACCTTCATCCATTCCGCCACAATACCATGCACTGATGTGCTCAATTATGTAAACAAATTATCACTCTCTCAGAAACAGCTAATGCCCGCAGAATCAAACACGTACCAATCATGAAAACCAAACACTACGCAATCCAGATTTCAGATTCGATGACCTAGCATAACACGGTGAGCAATAGAAACTCTACCTGAGTCTCCGACTACGAGGACGCGAATCTGGCCAGAGGGTGGACCTCCACTCCGAATATGCTCAATCGCATCACTTTCTCTTCCCCACCACGCCATTTTCTCCTCCGACTTCTTTGGTTCAGAATCTGTTTTTCATATTTGATTCAAATGGCGAATTGCAGAGCTTTCAGGAGTGGAAATTAGAGATCCGGAGAAGGGGAGAAAGTCGAGGGAAACGATCCATCATTTGTATCCGATTATTTTATAGTTGGTCAAAGATCTGGACGAGAAAATATTTATTTTATATATTACTTCAAACATAACGACTATGAGTTAAAATATTCGATTGAACTTTTTTTAGTCAGATATATGAACATGCTCATGATTGACTCAAACTATTTTTTATTTAAAAATGCTAAAAAAAATTAAATATAAAGGACTACGAGCTTTTTTCGAGCTTCAGTATTAAAAATTATGCATTTTATTTTTTAAAATTTAAATATAATAATAACTTTTTTTGGCAATTTTTTAAGTCTTATGCATGTAAATGGCCTAATGTAGGTTATGTATAAATTTTGATATTATATATATATATATATAGTACTGCACCCTACACTCAAGGGAAATCGAACTCCAAACCATAGGGGACTTACAACTGACAAGCAGATACCCGACCAACTGATCTGAGTGTTCGGCACATGTATGTATGTATGTATGTATGTATGCTTGTGTGTGTATATATACGCGCGCGCACACACACACACACATATATGATACGCCACAAATTAATTTTCATCATCCGGCACGAATCACGAGGCATGACGCGGATCTCGAGATAATACCTTGATCAAGAAACATTCAAACATTAATTAAGGGTCATCCAAAGCTCCAATTTCGGCAAACTTATAGTTAAAATGACTGGCTTGATGAGACGAATCTAATGACATCAAATTCATTACAATCCGAGTCAAATTAAGCCCATATCAAGTCATTAAATAATATTTTAAAGAGTTTCAGACATATTTGAAATGTTGAACGATCGTCGATTCTAACAAGTTTATCGTCAAATCGAGTGTCTCAACAAGATGAATCCAACGATCTCAAGATTGCACAATTCCAACTTTGTTAAGACACTTGAATGTCCATTAAACATCGTTTGATCGAAGTAACTTCTCTGGACCGACAGATCAAAATGATTCATATTCATGCATTAATGACACCCAGAAAACTACAAACAGAGTTCCACCCCTCACATGAGGGAATGTCTTGAAGCTTCAGAGAGAACTAGAAGCTCGGAGATGGAGCTGAATTCCAGCACTATCCCGACCGTTGTCGACCACCGCCGATCACCATCGACCGTCGTCAGCCTCAACCACTGTCAATCGTCACCTTCTATCACCATCAATTATCGTCGAGCACCACCAACTAAACCTTGTTAGTTATCTTCGTGAGACAGGAGCTAATCACTACGGTCTATGTGTCAACAACGACCTACGTGGTTCACAGCTCGTGCGACTCCCAACTCCGACCTTCGCGGCTTATGGATGTCATTCATACTCGCCCATACGGTCTATCTGGTTCACAGCTCGTGCAACTCCCGACTCTGACCCCTGCGACCTACGAACGTCATTCATACTCGCCCAAATGACCTACATGGTCATCAACTCATGCAGCTTCTGATTCCGGCCTTCGCGGCCTAAGACTTCATTCATACTAGTCTCTACGCCCTACCTTGTTCATAGCTCGTATAGCTCCCGACTCCAGTCCCCGCGACCTATGAACGTCATTTGTACTTCCCCAAACAACTTGCGTGGTCATCGGCTCAGGTATTTCCCGACTCCGGGCCTCGCGGCCTACGAATATCATTCATATTCGCCCCTACGATCTACGTGGTTCACAGTTTATGCAGCTCTTGACTTCGGCCCCAGGCATCATTCATATTCGCCATTGCGACCTATGTGGTCTACATCTCTCGTAACGGCTTGCTATGGTTTTTTTTGTTAATCAACGCTTCTGAAACAACCATGTACTACACTCACGACAAATTATTATTTCCATAACAATCAACAATGGCCTTTGCAATCTAATGTCACCAAAAACTGCAGCCAAGTTAATTCTATCTTCTATAATTTAAGGGAAGAAAGAGTTTGTGCATTGATCATACCAAAAACTGCAACCAAGTTAATTTTATCTTCTATAATTTAAGGGAAGAAAGAGTTTGTGCATTGATCATTCATAGTGGATTATTTCAACTGGGCTAGACCCCGTGATTTTTTCCCCTTACAAGGTTTTTTCACGTTAAAAATTGAGATGTCTCATCCTGCTTACTTCTCTTTTGTTATCTGTGCATGATGAATTCTCGTGGACCATTAAGATAATAATTCATTACTCTACCGCCGCAAATTTTTTAACAC